TAATAAAAATGTTGACACAAAGTGAACAACAGGATTGAAAACAAAATAAAGGTGTAAAGCATATCATATGAGTGGACAAACGCTAATTATTTATTTAAATGAATGCTTTTAGCCCATATTTACATGGGAAATTTTGATGTGTTTGAGTTTATGTGTAGAATATTTGGTTATGTAACACAATGGACATTGTCATTGTTGTTGTTGTTGTTGTTCTGGTTTGTGAAACTGTCTGGATTTGTAGGTACATAAAATACCTACAAGTCCACATGGCAGCAAACCCCAGAACAACAGAATCTCAAATCTCACACTAGATAGCACTTATAAATGTTAGTGTTTTTATTAGATATGAATTTAATTTTCAATACTCATGAATTCTACCGCATGTCAGTAAATGTTACATTTATATTGCAGGTATGCTCAGGTGGTCCGGGCCATCAGAAACTATCAGCTGATCAGTACCGAGCCTGTATTCGATCTCGGGCCCTTAACGAAGCATCCCACGCCCAGCTAGGATTCCTTGCCTTCCGAGATGAAATAGCCAATCAGAATAATGTCAAAGGATCATTATATCCTTCAGTACATAAAGAAGAAACCTGATCACAATCCAAGAAGCACGGTCAAAGAAATGAATTTTAATTTTACCCCATCTGTTAAAATAATTGACATGGGATTTTGCCGTCTAGAGACTTAGGAATGAACCTTCATTGACTCCATAATGAAAAGTTAATCTTTCATGTGGCATATTTCATAAACCAAATGCTTATAATGAACATTAATGTGAAAATAATGTTTACTTTTGCATTATAAAGAGTCACTGCCTATCCAGATAAAAATAAATGTTTCAAGACATTCATCGCACCAACAAGGTCTTATGTTGGAAATATAATTTCTGTTTTTTTTAATCAGTACTTAAAATAAATCTTCAAATACGTGATGTGAACTTCTGGTTACGGAATTTTTGAATTAGATTGTCATATAAAATATGAAAGTATTGGACAGTACAAAATAGTGAATGGTGTTACTGGTAACATTTTGTACTGGCTGCTGCTTGTTAATGTAGCAACAGTGAGTATTATACCATAGCAAATTAATAATTAATGCAGTATTTGCTTGTAAAAGATTGAAAGGATTTTAATATGGATCTGAACTAAGGTATTTTCTTAGACAGTTAGTAATATGTATATCCAATATTAACTATGAAAATAAGACCAATAACAGTTTCATATCTGAGGTAACCAAACTTGTTCAGTAATTAATTCTCATAAATTACATATCCCTAAAATGCAAGATCAACGCATTATTCCTGTTAAAGGCAAAAAATAATTGATAAGCAACATATTCTCATTATCATTATAGTTTGAAGGACCGTGATTATGTCAATAAAATCAAAATTAACAGATTTTTTGCAGAGAATTTCTTACAGTCTTCAAATATTAACAATTTTTCAAAATCTAATTTCTTCTATTGTAAATATTTTAAGTTTTATTATTATGTACTACATTTCATAGTCTTAATAATGTGAAGCTGTAAAACCAATAAAATATTTTATGAAGAAAACATTAGAAAAAAAATGAGAAGTCAGTTATTTAAAAATTACACCAAATAACTCTTATAACCGTTTTAATCGAAAAGAGTTTTATGACGATATGTCCATAGATATTAGAAACTATCTTTCTGAAATATGGGAGTAGGGTGAGTAAATGTAGGTAAACCCAACATTTTCTATAAAGATGTGGGTGTATGCTTATAAGAACCTAAGGGTACAGTTTTCATCACATTTCATGGTGCAGGTATTTTAGATAATCCAGTCCTTCTTCTGTAAAGTACATTTTTGCAAGAGGAGCGAAGCTGTAAAGAAACTTACAAACCTCCACTTGTTAATATTAATAATGTGACTTGAGATAAATCACAAATATTAGTTGTTTTGTGAATTAAATATAATGTATGTGTTAATTGTTAATTTGTTGTTGTTTGGATATTAACTATACTTGTATTATTTATTTATTAAATTTGATATTCATGTATATGATTATATATGTTGAAATTTTAATTAACTCAACTTTTATTATTCTTTGTCTTTGCGTTGAATTTCAGCTTGTTTCAGATTTACTGTTGTGTGCATAAATTTGTATAGCTTCATCACAAGTCCAACAATTTTAGAATATGTACAGTTATACTTGTAAATTTGTTGTTATTCTTTTCAGGAAATCGTGAAAGAATGACATTCTGAGGTAAACTCTCGAAAGCGTTGAATTTGGCAGCGATTAATACGTGTCTGTTAACAAACATTTAATTGTAAAAGAAAACTGTTTTAATTGGAAAATTTTTCCTGTTTTCCTCTCCTTTAGTCATTATATGACCAATAAAATGTTCACAATATGATTTATTGTGTAGCTTTTAAATATGAGAAAATTCTGTTAAAATCTCAGTATTAGTCTGAATAATTTAGTAATTACTTTTATTTTACAGAATGTTAGGCTGACTAGAAAACTATTTACTGAAATTCATATATCAAAGTTCATGCAGTAATTCGTCTAGAAAAGCTGGTAGTCGCTTAGCCTGTTTTTGAACCCGAAGGCTAATTGCCCTGACAACCGTACTGGTCACTGAGCATCGACCAAATTAATCCGGTCCGTATCCTCACACCCTATTTCTCTATGGTAATTTTCATATCACTCTCACATTCACGCCTAGATCTTGCAAGTGGCTTGTTTCTTTTACTTTGATGTAGTAGGGGCTTTCTTCCACCTTTCTCCTTCTTCCTCCATCTTACGCTCAAATATTGACACTGACATTATTATTATTTATTATTTAGTGTTCTGTCTGACGCCAGGTCCATATGAACAGGATCCTTCCCTCCTTTTCTCGGACTGGGACCTGTTCATATGCGTTCTTGGCAGATGATCCAGAAGTGGTTTGCCATTGCCTTCTTCTGTGTGTGAATGGAGTAATTGTTGGGATGCCACGGAGAAACCGGGGAAGCCCCCGGAGGAAAACTCCGTGTTATCTAGACCACGGCCTTGCCCAACACAAACTGTAATCTCCATGGAGATTATCTGATATCTGCTTTTAATTGCAGATGCTTGAATAATGTTACGCTTCATCAATTTGAAAAAGAGAAAAGCTCTGAAGTAAAATTATTATTTACTTATTTATTTTGTGTTTATATCGGCAATGTCATTCTTTCTACAGATAAGAAGGATATGGTGAAATTTATTTGAGATTTACAGAATATCTCGACACTGGTAATTAATCATGTATTATTGTTGAAGACAATGCAAACGCCTAACGTGCTTCTTGTGTTCAAATACGTGCAGAATGTGTGAGTGACTTCAACATTGACTTAGCATCAAAATCGCATGAATGTGACAAATCTTCAGAGTTGAAAGCAACCATTTAGAATAGAGAAAATTCAGGAACTTTCAAACATGAGTGAGATATGTGGCCATAATATTCGTTATTTCTGTTGCTAATGACAATGGTGCTACTTAAATATTTGCTTAAATTGAGCAATGAACAATTTTAAGAAACATTGATTAACCCTTATCATCTGATGCAGCTGCCAAGGCCGAGCCATACTTTCAGTAGCGCCGTGGCACAAGGGGTTTACAGCCCTCGTTTCATATGACGTGTGACATAAATTTAAGGGATGTGACATCAGTACAGCTTTGTTATATATTAATGGCGAAAATATGAACACATTATGAAATATAAGACGTGGACAAAAATGGAAAATGAATATTTTCTGACAAATTTATCGACTTGAATCTTTCATCCTTTCTTATTCATAACAAGAGAACGAATGTTAGTTTTATTGTATTTAAAAATTAAATGTTTCGCCATCTTGCATAGTGCTTTCGGGAGACGATAGTTCTAACATGTTCTTGTAGATGACGCACTGAGAAGTGGCTGCCATCCTCGTGGAGCGTTATAAATTTCTTGCACCTCATTTTTGAATTAAACAAATGAAAACTGAATTATCTGATTTTCTGCGTTAATATGCACTGGCAATACAAAATCTTTGGTTTAAGAACACAGTAATAATGTGTTTAAATTTGATCAGTAATAACAAAATGAAATAATTTGGAAATTGAGTCGGTTTTCGATATTCAACATTTACAGTTTTGGATGCCTTATGTTAGACCCAAAATATTGTCTTCAAAAGTAAAAGTATTCAGCATGTTTATTGTTAATGATTAATTCAATAAATTGTAGTACCAGCAGACTTTAAAATGTTTTAGATCCATGCATTGTTTTTCTGGGAAATTTTTATATAGCCTATGCATTTCATTAGCAATTTGTTTAACTTTGACAGTGACTGCATTGTTTTTCTGGGAAATTTTTATAAAGCCTATGCATTTCATTAGCAATTTGATTAACTTTGACAGCGATTTTTTTATGACTTATTTTACGTCTTTATGTGGATTTTCCTTCTTGATCTTCCTGTGTATTTCCGTATTGGTTTAGATAGTAATTATGGTTCAGGAATTGTGCGCTTGTCATGAAACATATATTTTTATCTCTATCTGGACATATCTATCTCTCTGAAAATTGTTTACGAAGATTACAGTGTGTCCAGTTACCGAAGAACATTTTTCCATTTTAGACTTCATTAAATTTCCAAATTTTGACACAGCAATACCAAGACAATTTGAAAACGTGACAAAAGTTAATTGACTTATCTCATTCTTGGAAATAAGTAGTATTCCAAAGTTTCTGTCTAGTCAAATTTTTTTTTAGCAGTCAGCTGTGGACAAAAATTGCCAATGTTACCAAATAAAAAATTTATAGCACTAGACAGAAATAAAAATTAAAAAAGATAATTATTGTATCAAATGTTAATTTTATATTTGTGAATGAAATAATCAGGAAATCTGTTCACATTGCACGATATTTGATGTACGGTGCAAGAATTGTAAAAATAATAAAGAAATACAAGTCGATGTTCATCAAAAAATAGTTATTACACGATGTGTAACATTATATAATTTTACGGGTTGCTGAAGAGGAGGGTAGAGCTGGAACACAAAATTGTTTCTTAATTCTTGAAATTTTAGTTCTGTCTTCATATTGATGACTCAGGCGAAAATAATTTATGTGCAATGTGCTATAACCCACTGTTACATGGAGTTGCAGCTCAGCAGCTCAATGTCCACCACAGTTCTATCCTTCGAACTCTTTTCACCCTCTGTCCTCTGGTGCCTTTTAATCTTGCAGATTATGGACTCGCCATGCTGCATTCCCCTTCGTATTGCTGCCTCGTAGAGTTCTTTTGCTCAGAGCAAGATTTTTATCCAAAATCATTATAAAATTTAAACGTAGCCATGCGGAGTGCTATTCAAAGTGAAAAGAGGGGAGACAGATACGTGTATTATTCTGTGTTGATTCGGGGAATGCTTGTTACCCTGCAGTTTAAAATATTTTGTTGTCCCATCTTCTATCTAAAAATGTAAATATTTAAATATGCAGAACTGTAATATTGCCTGTTGTTTTGTATGGATGTGAAACTTGGTCTCTTACATTAAAAGTAGCATGCGGGTTGATTGGATCTGAAAGTAGGACCCTGGACTCGTCATCAGGTGAATAAAACGAGTAGGATGAGATGGGTGGGGCATGTAGAGGGAACGAGGAGGTGAGAAACGTGTATAGAATTGTGGTTGGAAATCCTGTGAAGGGAGGAGACCGATCGGACGGCCTAGATTCGCTTTTGTATAATTACTGACATCGAAATCTGCGACAAAGAGCCAAGTAGAGTGAATGGAGTATAACGAATGTCTTGTTGTCATAAGTACGTCACTCTTTTAATATGAAATCATACTCGAGAATGGTCAAAACAATATCGATTTCTGTGAAATTTTGCTGTAATTTGAGCTTAGGTTATTTATTGAGGGGAAAAATCAATTTTGATGTTTAATTAACATTCGTTAGTCTATTAATTCATCATTTCTTTACGTTCATGTCGATTGCCCCTGTTCATCTTCTTTCTCAGCCTTTCTTTTCTTCTTCTTTATTACGTCGTCTCCTTTACAGGAGGTTGGCGACATATTAATAACAGGATCCTTCCATCCTTTTCTCTTCTTGGACTGGGACCTGTTCATATACGTTTTGGCAGATGATCCAGAAGTGGTTTGCCATTGCCTTCTTCTGTGTGTGAATGGAGTAATTGTTGGGATGCCACGGAGGAAAACTCCGTGTTGCCTAGACCACGGCCTTGCCCAACACAAGTTATAAATTTGGGCACCGCCGGGAATCGAACCCGAGACCCAGGATTACAAGGCCAGCGTTCTAACCGCTAGACCACCGTGGCTTACCTTTTATGTATATTTATTATTATTTTCTTCTTTTTCTAATATTTTTCTTTTGTTTACTGTGTTTTGTGTAACGTAGTTTGGAAACCAGTGAGCTTCAAGAAGGTGTTAGTCGTAATATTGTGCACAGACGTAAATAGTCTGGAGTGTCGGAAGCATTATCACAGTACATTTTGTTTATGATGTGTGCAGTTTATGTAAATCCTTGGATGAAGTTTCTGCGCCAACTGTGGCACTCAGCAATGGCGAGAGGTTAAGGAAGTGGAGTGATCACTGCTCAAGTTTATTTCCCAAAGAGGGAGAGGGGGGGGGGTTGTAACTTGGAGACATCTGTCTGCAGGGAATTTGCATCTGGTATTATTGTGTTCTGCCCACAGAGACCAGGATACGTACCGCGTTCATTCGCTTACGTCACGTATCCAAAGGGATCAGGAGTTCTAATACAGGGCGTCGCGTATCTGATCTCCTTTCGGAAAGTCACCGGTTCTAACATCGAAACAGTAATCTTTAAAAGTTTTGTAGGTTATTTAGGAATGTTGCATGTCGTCGAATAAGAAACACTAATAGTGTTTTCGTAGGTAAACCGTTGAGCCAACATTAAAGAAACTGTACTTGGACAGAGGTTTTGCGGCGAGAGTTAAGTGTATGAGCGATT